CAAATGTTCCTTTTAAGCATGTGACGAAAGAGGGATGATGAAGATGAGTGACTAACCTTCCAAAGATCATTGCAGTAAGCATGGTCTTGCCAGAATGCAGCATCCGTCTCCATGAAAGACCTCAAAGCGAATTTTTCAAGCTCTAATGGGAAATAAGCATCCTCGATATGATTCTTGGTAAATGATCTCGAACAAAATGTGGTGCTTCCTTTCCTCCATGCCCGTCAAATGCCTTTCACCCCAAAAGATGCTTGTTATTTTCAAACCAACATTTGTTATAGATCACATTAAAAGAGAGGTGAAACTAAGAACTCACTCCATAAACTGAGATAATTGTTTTGCTAAGAAGTGAAATTTTCAACTAGATTTGGAATGCATATGTGAGTATCCTCCATATATGCTCGCTTTCTGATATGATACCAGTCTCCAGAACGAAGAACGGGGATGAAATCGCTCTATTTCTCATATGTAACAATTGCAGTCTCACCAACGCTGTCCATCTGATGAAAACGATGACTTGTTATACTACTTACACATGATTACGCTTAACTCTTATATGCAAACGCATTTAGATTACTTTTCAAAAGAGCCTTTAATGTGAGAAGGAAGTTCCATATTGAGGATCAATGATCTAAATTTAGCCAGCATGTAACTCCGACATGCCCTCTGCCCTCTCTAACAGAGGCTATACGGAGCATAGTGTCAAGAGGGGGTTAGATGGGTATATTGTCAGAGTCCATATATTGGTAAATCTTGGCATAGATACCATGTGATTATGTGGTAACCCCGTTAGATTACTCTAAGAAAACAGTTCCAAATATATATAAGAAGATGGACTCGAACACTTCCAAACCATATCCATCATAATTTCTCACAAAATCGTGAGAACCCCTCAAATCAATCCCAACTGTTATCAATTCAATTCACCCATAACATAATAACACACATGAAAATTGAAATGTTCTTCACAAAAAGATCAAGCTTTTAACACAATTTCAATACAAAGAGAAACATTAGCAAGCAACTTATCTGAAGATCAATTACTATTAAACGAAAAATCAGCATTTGCATTAATCAGAATCAAAATAAACAAAGCCCACTTCAAATTATCAAAACAAAAAGGAAGCACAAAAGAATTAGAACTGAAAGAGTCAAAATCAAAGAAAAGCATATCATCAAACAGGTTGTAAGCAATATATTGAATAAAGGAATATAGTGTGTACCAGAATAGATGTTGAAAGAGTGATTTGATCAGAAGCAAGCTGAGCAGTGCTATCATCTGCTGAAACCAAGGATTGACCCAGATTTTTTTTTCAAACGGTGGCCCCATTTGACTAATAAGAAACAAACATAAGGATATTTTTCACAAAATCATTGTTGGTGTGTCTGTTAGTTCTTTGCTTTTCATATGTTAGATCTCATGTTCATGTCTTTTATTGCAAAAAAATTTCAAAAACATGATAAATCTGAAATTAAAAGCTAAAAACTAAGAAAATGACACTAACAAAATTCGAACTCGACTGTAGCTCTACCAAGTGAAACTTATGTCCTCATAGCAGTTTCAAAAACATATATGGTGTCACACAAGAAATTGATACGGTGACACTTTTCACGTCCCTATAATTTTTTGCACTATGACGAAGTAACGAAACCGTATCACAATCACAGGCCACCACCTCACATCAGATCGGTCCATGGTTAAAACGCCCATATAATCCTTCACTACGTTGTGTACACACATATTAATGGATGAATTTGGTTTCAGTTTGTAAGTAGAATTACTTTAAAATACCGAAAAGCACACACAAAGAGATGAAGATTGGATGAAGAAATTTGAAACAACTTATGTTTTTCTATAAAAGTACTTATCAACTTATTATAAGTCAAAAGGTTTTAATTTCTTCAAAAACTCCTTATTACCGGTTTGGCACCGGTATAAGTTATTTACCCGAACACTCAAAAGTGTTTGTTACCGTTGTCACACCGAAATAAATCAAAAAGTTATTTTTTATAAACAATCCCAAACACCCCATAGCCCAAGAATTTCCATGGGGTACGTGGACACTGAAGAGAGGAGGAGGAGGGTAGAAATGAAGATGGTGATGGTGGTTCTGCTTTTTGGTACTCCTCTTATTAAAAAAACAATCATTTGGTACATATATTGTTATAGTGAAAAGGAAATATATCTTTATTATATAATTAATTTTCAACGTATATTTTCTGTTTCATAACACGAAAAAAATAGCTTTTACATATATTATTTCATAATATGAACATAAATATATGTAAAACAATACCAGAAAATCATGCTTATAATTAAAAAAATCATGTAAAAGAAATATTTTGATATTGGTTATCACGGGTTTGTAACTTTTTTGTGGTTCTTATCGGTGATTTTAATATAATTAAGTGTTTTAGTGTAGTTGTGATTTACATGGGCTTGACTAGGTGATAAGGCAAACATAATGTAAGGAGGTGCATAGTACACACTCATAAATGTCACCTCTAATCCTCTGTCATCGCCATAACGTAAACATCAAAGTGGGATGTGCCCCTTGTGGGGTCCTAGGTACAGCGCCCTTAGTTGGGTTCAAAGTGAATTTCATAAGGTACGAAGCTTCTAAGTTCACATTTACAAGTCTTGGAGTTCAATCTCAGAAGCTCTGACTTCACATTCAAAAGCTTCTGATTTTGAAGTACCTTCAGAATTTCCTTTTGATTCATGTTTTGTTCTTATCTGTAACTGTTGTGCAGTTATCAATAGTGCTTGATTATCCATAATCGTCGATCTCTCATATAAATATGTGAGAGTCCTGGTTCTAGGTGTATATAGAATTCAATTTTACAGCCTTTAGGTTCTGAGTGGTCTTTTGGATCATCCAAATGCTCAATTCATGATACCTAAGCCAATAATGGTCGAATTAGTGTATTAGGAAAGCATACATATACGCGCTCCAATTGATTTATCCAATCCATTTGATCAATAAACACTCGATTCGTTACAGTTCCCTCGCTCCTCACGAGATTCGCAACATAAATCAAGTTTGTAACTGAACTTGCCTCTATAAAGGGGTCGGTTCAAATCAGAAGACAAAATATCGTGAGAAGATAAGAAAAGAAGATTAAACAAAGATTCATATGTGAATCCACCAAAAAATGCATTTGAATTTCCATATGTGAACCGACATTATAAAATTTTCAATCTTTAATATTTCATTCTTACATTTTCACAACGTTTTAGGAGCCATTTACCAAACACTTATTTGGTAAGTGTTTACCAATAAAATTAAACACTATTATTTACTTACCAGGTAATATTTTGGTCCACCAAAACGACATCGTATCCAACAATTTACCCGGTAAGCTATTACTGTGACAAAACTCTTTGTCCTCACTTACCGAGTAAGATTTTTGGTCTTTAGCATATTCATCCGGTAAATAGTGTGATATAATAATTGCTTACCCAGATAAGCTATTTCTATATACATATGAATGAAGATACAATAATTGCTATGTGTTATTCAACTTATTATATACTAATAACAACACGTTTTCTAGAAGGAGTTTTACGAATTATTTTTAATCATTTATATTTGTATCACAACATTGACTCTTGGTTTATTTTATGTTAAAAACATATCTCAATATTATTATAGTTTTTATTAAATAATTACAATACTTTGTTGATATAAACGTGTGACGTTTTTATATTTATTTTGTTGATTACAAATAAATTGTACCATATTGTTTGTGAGCATTTATATCTGATGTACATATATATAAGTTACATAAATATACGTTGACGTCTTGATTTGTGTCAACTTGAGATTAGTGATCAAATCCGAGAATGTACAACGGAATGGGAATATTCAAGTGGCATGTTGAAATATGATTGTTTCATACTTAGGGACAGTTTACCAAACACTTACCCGCTAAGTGCTTACGGGTAAAATTTAACACTATTATTTACTTACCGGGTAAGATTTTAATCCATCAAAACGACATTGTATGCAACAATTCACCCGGTAAGCGCTTACCGTAGTAAGAGTCATCTCCCTCACTTACTGGGTAAGACTCATGGTCCTTGTCTTGCTCTTACCGGGTAAGATTCTTAGTCTATACCATTTTTATCCGGTGAGGTAATGTGACTTGATAAACGCTTACCCGTGTAAGTGTTTGGTAAATGGCCCCTTGGTATTCCAACTCCGCTCGATTTTACCGATCATTTTGTAGAAACAGTTGTAAAATATCGAGAGAGACCTTTTATAATATAATTATAAAACGAAAAATAAGAAGTATCGATAAGTTGTATCAAATAGTTGATTATGAAAAAAATATGAGGAGAGAAATAACATATTCTAAGTTAGAAGAATATTTTAATGTACCAAACCCAACTAACCCGACCAACCCGTACGGGTTGGGTTGGGTTGGGTTGGGTTGCACTTTGATTAGGGTTAGGATGGATTAAGATTTTTCAAACCGTAAGCATTGGGTTGGGTTGTTCAAATGTCTTCAACCCGATCAACCCAACCCATGAGCACCCCTACTTCACGTGGTGAAATAATACACGTGAAACTTTTTTTGTTCATAATATGAAACGAAAAATACAGATTAAAATTTTGTACGTATTAGCATAGTTGGTAAAAAGAAAACTCATACTTTAAAACATCTCCAACAAACTATCCAAAATAAAAAAATTAAAATTTTAAATCTTTAAATTAAAATTACATCCAACTCCATCAGTTTTTTTATTTTAAATATTATAATATTAATTATATAATAAAAATATATTTTTTTCTCACTCTAATAATTTTTAAAGAATTCTCAAAATTTAAAAAAAATATTTATTAATTTAAAATATATATATTTTTAAAGAATCCATTAAAGGATGTACCATTTATCTAGTAGATGTACCAAATGGTTGTTTTTTTTAATAAGCAGAGGGAGTACCAAAAGGCAGAACCACCAGCACCACCACCACCACCACCATTCCTACCCTCTTTCTCTCTCTCTCTCTCCCTCTCTCCCTCTCTCCCTCTCTCTCTCTCTGAAATTCTTGAACTATAGAACACTTTCTTGATCTGCTTTCAAGTTTCTTCAGATATACATTTTCTTGATCCAATCTTCATCTCTTTGTGTGTGTGTTTTTGGGTGTTTTAAAGTAATTCTGCTTACAAACTGAAACCAAATTCATCCATTAATATGTGTGTACACGACGCAGTGAAGGATAATCTGGGTGTTTCAGCAGACGATAGCACCGCTCAGCTTGCTTCTGATCAGATCACTCTTTCGACATCTTTTCCGGTAAACTCTATATTCCTTTCTTCAATATATTGCTTACAACCTGTTTGATGATATGCTTTTCTTTGATTTTGACTCTTTCGGTTCTAATTATTTTATGTTTCCTTTTTGTTTTGATAATTTGAACTGGGTTTTGTTTATTTTGATTCTGATTAATGCAACCCCTGATTTTGCGTTTAATAATAATTGATCTTCAGATTTGTTGCTTGCCAATGTTTCTTGAATTGTGTTAAAAAAGCTTGATCCTTTTGCCAAGAACATTTCAATTTTCTTGTGTGTTATTATGTTTTTGTTGAATTGAATCGAATTGCATTTGGGATTGATTTGATGGGTTTTCATGATTTTGTGAGAAATTATGATGGATTTGGTTTGCAAGTGTTAAAGAGTCCATCTCTTTTATATATGTTCGGAACGGTTTTCTTAGAGTAATCTAACGGAGTTACCACATAATCGCATTGTATCTAAGCCGAGATTTACCAATATATGGACTTTGATAATATACCCATCTAACCCCCTCTTGACGCGGTGCTCCGTGTATATATATATATAGCCTCCTTTGAAGAGGGCATGTAAGAGTTACATGTTCGCTAAATTTAGATCATTGATCCTCGATATGTAACTTTCTTCTCACTTTAAGGGCTCTTTTGAAAAGTATTGCATATAAGAGTCAAGTTAAATCATACATGTATAAGTTGTATAACAAGTCATTGTTTTCATCAGATGGATAGCATTGGTGAGACTGCAGTTGTTACATATGAGAAACAGAGCGATTTCGTCCCCGTTCTTCGTTCTGGAGACTGGTCTGATATCGGAAAGCGAGCATATATGGAGGATACTCACATATGCATTCCAAATCTAGCTGAAAATTTCAGTGATAAACTTCTTAGCAAAGAACTTGTCTCATTTTATGGAGTGAGCTTTTAGTTTCACCTCTCTTTTAATGTGATCTATAAAGAATGTTGGTTTGAAACTAACAAACATCTTTTGGGGGAAAAGGTATTTGATGGGCATGGAGGAAAGGGAGCATCACATTTTGTTCGAGATCATTTACCAAGAATCATCGTCGAGGATGCTAATTTCCCATTAGAGCTTGAGGAAGTCGTCATGAGGTCTTTCATGGAGACGGATGCTGCATTTGCCAAGTCGTGTTCTACCGAACGATCTCTTTCTTCTGGCACGACCGCACTTACTGCAATGATCTTCGGGAGGTTAGTCACTTATCTTCTTCATCATCCCTCTTCTGTCGTACGCTTAACAAGAATGTTTGCATTTGTTACGTTGGATAGAATGAGAAAGGGCAGTACCGCAGTACAAATTCTTGTTGTCCCATGTTTGGCACGACACTAGATCGGGACAGTATAGGACCTAAGTAGGACAAAGATGCATTTTTTCTATACCACCAGAATAAGTGAAACAAAAATTTGGGTGATGGGGACAAGATTAATAAATTACTAAACTACCCATGTCACATTAAAACCCTAAAACTCTACAAAATCCCTTCACCCGCCTCACTCTCGTCCGTCCATCATGTCAAGTAAGTCTCGTCCAGTCTAGCACACGTACCAAACGCAAAGGTCTAAGTTTTCCCTCTAGAAGACCGTTAGGAACCAAAATCCATCCTACCGTCATAAAGATAATTTGCAGTTCCACGATTAACACCAACTAACATCTGTTCAGATCTCTTCTTGTGGCAAATGCTGGAGATTGTAGGGCAGTTCTGTCTCGAAACGGATTAGCTTTTGAGATGTCAAAAGATCACAGGCCATGCTGTCACAAAGAAAGGGTTCGAGTCGAATCTTTAGGTGGGTTCGTGGAAGATGGCTACTTGAACGGTCAATTAGGTGTGACTCGAGCCATAGGTAACTGGCACATCAAAGGCCTAAAAGAAAGTGGCGAACAGGTTGGCCCTTTGAGTGCCGAACCCGAGCTCAAACTGGTCACACTAACTAAAGAAGATGAGTTCTTGATCATAGGAAGCGATGGAATTTGGGATGTTTTCAGGAACCAAAATGCAGTGGATTTTATCAGGCGTCGGCTGCAGGATCACAACGATGTGAAGCGTTGCTGCAAGGATATGGTGGAGGAAGCAATGAAGAGAGGAGCGATTGATAATTTGACAGTGGTGGTTGTGTGTTTTCAGGCGGAGCCACCACCACCTGTGGTGGTGCAGAGAGGTAGAGTTCGGAGAAGCATTTCTGCAGAAGGCCTGCTTAATCTTAAATTCCATCTTGAAGGGTAAAAGAGCTTTTTCCTTTTGCTCTCATTTTACTGAATTGTTATTTCTGACTGTTTGTAGCTTTTGTAAATATATTCATGTAGAACAAGGGAAACAATCTGTAAAGTTTATACATATTTATGTACCTTATCTATGAATTTACACTCGATCCATGAACATATTAAGTGTAGTTTTTGTATCTAATCTATACATGAAAATACACAAAATCTTATATGTATACATCTTAAACTGCTCCAAAAAAGGCCTCCAATTACGGTACGAATAAACGCCAGCTCAATTGACAAATAAATGTGTTTCAGGGCTAATGCAGATGATTTTTCTGACTGTTATCTTCAGGGTACTATGAGATTAGTAGAAGTGCATGCAAGCTGGCTCAGAAACCCATGGTTACCGAAGAAAAATACAATATGCATGGGCGACACTACAACACGAATGGCTGATCAACTCTTGCTCAATATGCAATTGCACTAAACCGAAGCCATTTTCCCTCGTTTACTTTCCCTTTAATCTCGGTTCTAACAACTCGAATCAATAACAAACCAGCAATCGATAGAGATAGTATAAGCATAAAGAACACGCTGTTCCATCCTCTTGTTGATATATATCCGGCTAAAAGTGGACCAAGGGCTGCACCAACCGAACCAGTGCCATCGATGATTGCACTCACTGTGGCTAACGCTCGAGAATTACCTTTAATCGAGCTTTGTGTACCAAGATCGGCTGCAACGGCTGTTGTAATTAGCGCATATGGACCGTTCACAAGTAACCCAGAAAGGAACATCAAGAAAACATTGCTAAACATAGAAATGCTTCCATATAAACGGTAGAAAATAAGTGCAGGAACTGATAGCGTCAAGAATATGATTGAAGTGACTGCCCGAGCTTCGATTAGATCAGATATATATCCAGCCAAAATCCCGCCAATGACTCCTCCGATATCAAATACCGTCGAGAGTATTCCAGCAGTTTTATGAGATAAATGCACACCAGCAACAGCTTAATACAAAAAACGAAAAATCAAACCATAAGTGTACATTCAATTAAACCAAACCAAACTAGCACATGATATCCCACTAAGAGGTAAAATGTACACAGGTCTGACCTCTATCCATGAATACCCTTCGCTAGTGAAAAGTGTTTGAAAGGGAGAACTACATATATGCTAAAATTCGGAAAGCTAGATATGAGTAAACAACAGCAATACAACTAGAGCTAGAGAAAGGCATATATGCTAAATTTTGAAAACTATATATCAGTAAGCAACAACAATATAAATAGCAGCAAGTACAGGAAAAACATAACCATGTTGCGGAAACTGCACACTCCTAAGGTTCTGGTAACCTAATTACCGACTCACTATACTATCCCCTACACTCTACCTCTCCAGCTCCCTTCCTCCCGACCACATCCCCACCCCTAGTCTGCTCTACTCAAATCGTGCGTCTCCAAGAACTCCTATCAGAGTCATGTCCTCGTAAATGTCTAAAGCCAACATGTCCACATATGCCAACTTTTTTGTGACTGGTTTATAACATTGGTTCGGTTATTGATATTAACAACCAATTATCATAATCAAGAATTCTTGAAATGATGGTATTTGGATCGAAACTTGAATATAGGCCAATGGGAGCATTATATGAATTGAATTATAAGATCGTAAGATCAAGAAACCTGGAAATGATGATAATGGTATTAACAACCAATGATCATTTCAAGAAATCTTGAAATGATGATAATATAAGTCCATGAGAACATTATATGAATTGAATTAACAGAATATAAGATCAAGAAACCTGTAAATGATGACAGCGATGTCGAAAATGGTGAATAAAGGCATACCTGTGTGCCTTATGTAAAAGGGTAACCAATACAAGAAAGTGTAAGCAACGAGCTTCGAGAAGAACAAACAGAATGCAAATGGTGCAACTCCTGGCAACCTCCACGCCTCTAAGAACCCGATCGCAGCCGAAGAAGAAACCCCGTTTGAAGAAGATTCAGCCAATCGTTCGTTATCATCATCTTCTTCGGATTCTACTTTCTGCAAGTTAACCAACGACATTCCCTCAGTGCTCACTTCCACCCCTTCTTCTTCATCGTCTTCAGGCAACTCAAGACCAATAGTTTCAGGATTTACAACAAGAAACAAGAAAACAATCACGGCCACAATCAGAATGAGAATGGCAGGCAACACAAATGCCCAGCCCCAACCAAACCCTAGAACCGATGATGCAACAATGGATCCAATGATGTTACCCACAGAAGTATGTGAATTCCACACCCCCATGATCAATCCTCTTTTCGATTTTCCAAACCAATTCCCCATTACGGCTACCACACAAGGCCACCCAATCGACTGAAAAACCCCACAACAAATCTGAATCATGACGAAATAACCTAACAAATGAACATCAAGCCAAAACCCTAATCCAAAAAGTAGAGTAAAAACACCGCTACCAATCATCCCAATCGTTAAGAAAACCCTAAGATCGATCCGATCGCCTACGTGACCAGAGAAATACATACCGATAGCGTAAGCCGATAGGAATGCGAGATCGAGCTCGCCGAGACGGTGAGCACCGCGGGCGGAGTTGAAAGGGGGCCATCCGGAGGTGGGGTTTGATGTGTTGGGGTCAGGGCCGAGGACGGACTTGACGATGCTGGGGGGTTTCCGGGAGGCGTGGAAGGCGGCGTAGGCGAGGAATGTGATGAGAAGGGTGGAGATTTGGTGGAACGTTAGGGTTTTTTGTGGTGGGTTGAGGGTTGGAAAGAGGGAGAAGCCCGGTGGCGGTGGTGGTGGTRGTGGGGGATGATCTGGCGTTAGGGTTGTTGGATCTTTCATTAAAATGGATTAAAACAGTGAAAGCATAAGATTTGCAGACGAAGAAGAAGAATGGTGGAAGTTGTGTTGAGATTTCAAGTTTCTGGTAGGGGGGAGGGAAAGGAAAGGACAGTGTGTGTTTCAAGATTCTGAAGAGGTTGACTTTTCCTCCACAAACTTTGACTTCCTTTCAAGGCTAAAATATATTAAATTCTAACTTATTTTTACAAATTTTCTTATTATAATATTTTGCTTTCAGTTTTTCTTATTACACTAACGTATTTTCAAAATATTTTTTATTAAAGCGTTATGCTTTCAAAATTTTACCCATTATAGCATTGGATAATCTGTTACCTTTTAAACAGATTTTTCTTTGTTGACGTGTCAAACTTAAAATGACATAGAAGCCACATAGGATAGCTTACATGTCATTTAAAAAAAAATTCTAATTTGAAAACAATTTCTAAAAAGGAAAAAGTTTTCGAGTCCTAAAATCCCCGTCCTCTTCCATGGGAAGGAATTGCAAGTTATGGGTGGCGGTAGTGGTATCAACAACGGCAATGTTGGTGGTGGAAGAACTTATAATCCTCCTGCATTCAAGGAATTGCAGCAACAAAATTGATTGAAGGCTAGGAGATACTTATCGAAGAAGAAATTCAATCATGGTGGTAAATCAGCCCCTTTTTGCTCCGAGGAACACCACATCTTTTCTCATTCGTGCAAAGAAAGCAGGAGGAATCACATCCTTGGTTTCTCCATGCCCCGTTACACCTGTCGTGCTTCTCACACCAAATTTTTCTCCATCGAGGGAGGTTTTAGTCGACATGGCGAAAGAAGAATGAGTGTCGATGGGTATGGTTCTATGAAAGGCTTAATTAGGCTTAGGTCACCTGGGCATGAAGCCGATGTAGCTGAAGATGAGGAGGATGAAGAGGGTGGGTTGAGTGAGAGCGACGTGGAGGAACATCTAGAGGCAGAGAGACGATTGGATCATGACTTGAGCATATTTGAGATGATTTATCCAAATTGTGGTGTTGGAGATCATAGTAGTTATCATTTTGAGAACATAGTTGCAGATCATAGTAGTTATCATTTTGAAAATTGAATGATATTATGTTTATGAACCTACCAACAAGAAGTTCGATTGGTAATATGAAATCTTCGAGTTTCATACTAATTTTATATATCAAATGCATACTAATTTGTTCACTAATTTGAACGGGAACCATCTCAAATGGAATCACGACCAAAGCTCATCTCGAAAAAAAGTAGTCTTGATCATCAACTATGTTCTCCAAATGATAACTACTATTGATCTGCAACACCGTAATTTGGATAAATCATCTCAAATTTACTCAAGTCATGATCCAATCGTCTCTCTACCTTTAGATGTTCCTCTATATCGCTCTCACTCGACTCACCTTCTTCATCCTCCTCATCTTCAGCTACATCGGCTTCATTCCCAGGCGACCTAAGCCTAATTAAGCCTTTCATAGAACCATACGCATTGACACTCCATTCTTCTTTCACCATGTCGACTAAAACCTCTCTCGATGGAGAAAATTTTGGTGTGGGAAGCACGACAGCCGTAAGGGGGAATGGAGAAAACAAGGATGTGATGCCTCTTGCTTCCTTTGCACGAATGAGAAAAAATGTGATGTTCTTCGGAGCAAAAGGGGGTGATTTACCATCATGATTGAATATTTTCTTCGAAAAGTATCTTCTGGCCTTCAATCGATTTTGTTGCTGCAATTCCTTGAGTGCAGGAGGATTATAAGTTCCTCCACCACCAACATTGTCGTTGTTGATACTACTAACGCCACCCATAACTGCAATTCCTTCCCATGGAAGAGGAGGGGGGTTTTAGAAATTGATAAGGAAGAAGAAAGGTTTTTTTCCTTTTTAGAAATTGTTTTTAAACTATATTTTTCTTTTAAATGACATGTAAGCTATCTCATATGTAATAGGTTTTTCTTATGTGGCTTCCATATCATTTTAAGTTTGACACGCCAACAAAGAAAAATTTGTTCAAAAGGTAACAGGTTACCCAATGCTATAACGGGTAAATTTTTGAAAGTACGATACTCTAATAAAAATTATTTTGAAAGTACATTGTTATAACAAGTAAAACTAAAAGTAAAATACTATAATAAAAAAATAGGTTGCTATTTCACGCATTTTGCCCATATTTATTTGTGATTTACGAGTTTAAAACTTGAATCAAAGAATTATCTATATTTTTTTCTTTTTTTGATTAACCTATATACAAGCCGACTAACCTCAGGACAATCACCTAGCCCGAAGTCACCGCATTTGAACCTCCGTGGCCAAAAAGATTTTTATTTCTCATTGGATTAAATCCTAGAACCTTACCACCCGTGTGGCTGTATTTTTTAAAGTGAAAGAAGAAAATAAAAATAAATTTGCATTGTTTTAAACAAAATGAAGTAACGTTGATTTTTTTCCCATTTTGATTCACTCAGCATGACCTTCGCTAGAAACAAAATGAAGGGGAGGAATAATGTTTTCATATGGGTACAAACAACCGAACAAGATATAGTCCATCTGCAAAACCTTAAATCAACAACAAATGTACTACAAAAATCATTCCTCGTACGAAAATATTTAATCCATACTTCACCCGTTATCGCTATCAATTCGAATCCGTTCACCTCCCAACTCGTGACTAATTAGATTCACCACTTCGGGTCGACCTGGCCAGATGCATATGTCATTTTTGTACATTGATAGCTAGTGTTATAGGAGAACTACAAATAAATTCAAGGTTCTGTTGGTATGACCGATGATGTTGACTGCAACCACTAGATCATCTGCTGGTGGAGGTCGGCCGCCTGTTGGGCAAGCTCCACCACCATAGCCTCGTCGAAGAACTTATTGATGCTCACATCCTCGCTCATTCCCTACAGAAAAAAAGCAGTCGACAATTTATCTACCAAGAAGCATGTCAATGGAACTACAAAGTAGTAAATCAAAGTGTTTTTTTTGTTGTAGAACATATACTATTCTGCGATTTTCGAAGAAGGGAAGTCGTGCCCTCATACACCAACAACAAAGTTATGGATCTTGAATCATTACTATCTACGTCCCAAAATAAGGGTCCACGTTTCTATTTTATATCGTCCCATACTAAGTGTACGCTTTTAAAACTAAATGCCTACTTTCCAATTATACCCTTAATCATGAGATGGAGAAATTCATTAGAGTCTCTACTACTAAGGGCAAAAATGTTATTTGGTTAACCAAAAAGTGCAATAACTACACAATTTAAAACGGTATATGCATTTTTCATCGTGGGCATTTATTTTGAGACAGAGGGAGTATTGAGTAATGGATATAAAAAGAAAATGTTGGTCCAACAAAATGGTCAGATGTTGTAGGTCATCCTTTGCTTAATGTGGGCAATAATATTAGATAGGGATTAATAACTTCTATATAACTGCCTGTTTGTTAAAGCTGAGCAACATATAAGCATATGAAAATTGACTTGCTACCTGATGGAAATACTTGAAAATAAAAATTAAAAAAGATCAAAAAAGCAAGGAAGTAAATATACAACATACCTTCCTACGTCTTGTTTTAACCATAAATTCACGTGCAAGGTATTGAATTGGTGCAGGCTCCAGTGGCCGTAAGACAATGCTTTTGTCCAATGGATCACCAGGAACAATGGCCCAGTGATCAAAAGCCGAGAGGGCAAATGCCTGGCCCTGGGTATGGTACCGTAAGTCTGTCTCAAAACCGAATGATTCAATCACAGGTAGGAATGCCTGAAAATTCATATAAAGATTCAACAAATTACATTAGTCTGAATTCAGTAACTTTGACTATATAGGAACAAGAAACCACAATTCACATATGGTAAGACTAGAATACTAACCTTGACTATATAGGCTGGAGTTCCTGGTTGAGGAACATCAGCAGTTATATGTCCACGTCTTCGAGATAACACCGTGTATATAGCAGAAACACAATCTATAGGTGTTTGTATCTGAAATATAAATATACAATTTGATATTGCTCAGCTCTTAAGCATTCACGAGGAACCTTGGAATCTAGGATACTTTAGCTATTAGTTAATTTCTGGAAGAGTTTCTGAGGATGGACAAAACATGCAATCTATTGAAGTAGCAACGGTAATTACCTCCACGTAATATACAGGCTCCATAAGTCGTGGTGTCGCCATAAGAAAAGCTGAATAGGCAACCCGTCGGGCTGTTGGAATGATTTGACCCGTTCCACGATGTAATGGCTCTGGTGCAATTCTTGCATCTACTATTTTGAACTTAACATTACGGATGGGCTCATCACATAGAGGACCCTCACGTGCACCCCACTGGAATCTGTTAAATTTTATGTTAGTACTAAACCACAAACTAAAGTTTAGTAACTAATCATTATCATGACATTAGCAAAAGATTCTTAGTATGGGGTAGCAACCGAAATATGAATAAAAACTACACATCGAGGACACTTGATGCTAAAGGTAGCTAACAGATAAAAGGACCTACTTACCCTTGAACAATAGAATCCTTCACAGCATTCAACAAGCTTTTGTCGACTTCACTTGAGAGTGTGTCATCCAATAATATATTAGGTCCCTGCAAGTTGATTAAATGTATTTAGAACAACAAACGTAAAATAAGGGAATGACAACTAATCAAGGCATTAATTGATAACAAGAAATTATGCAATACAATTTTGAAAATTATTAACCTGCTTGTCCGGTCCAAAGGCCCATATAGATCTTGCAGCAAGCAAATCCCAATCATATTTGGTTTGAAAAAAGTCTCCTAGTTTCTTTCTAGGCCAATCCACACTTACAACACCATTCTCAATATCCTCCGCAAGACCTCTCTCCAATGGTTCAGCAATCTAAACAATATTACAATATAAAATAAATTTTTTGATAAGACAAGGAAAAGATCATTCCGAAAAGCACTACAGGAACTAAAAATTAGCGGTATCGCTTGTATACCATAGTAATTTTATTTTTCTTGTTAGGCGTTTCAGCAAAGCATTTCATCGATGAAGACTCCACCACTGTTTCGCAGAACGAGACAACTGGATCTGCCACCTGTTTGATACATAAAAAGCAGAAAAAACAAAAGCATGTCACTGGTAAAATTAATATACAGAAAGATATCTAAAAGGAAGTACAAAATGAAAAATAAAAAATCAAATTTGGTTGGAGAAGTAAAACAATTATAGTACCTTGACTTCGACTTCTGAATATAGCTCCCTAAGGTCCTTCATTATAGAATCTAGATACAACTCTCCAGTACCTAAAATAGTGTGTTCTCCGGACTCCTCAACTTTAGTAATAGCTAAAGGATAGCTCTTGCTGATCTTCCTAAGACCCTCGACCATTTTCGGCAACTCGCTTGGATTCAAGGGCTCGGTTGCTGTTTTCACCACTGGAAGAGTGTTGAATTGAAGAGGCCTGAATATGTATACATCCTCATCGTATTCTGAATTACAAAGGGTGGCAGTTTTCATAATTGAAGCATCAACACCTTCAATAAGAACCCAAGAACCAGGAGGAGCCTTATTAACCGGTATCCTGTAACGAGATTGATAAACCCACAGTTTCGTTACTTCTTTTACAGTCATATCTTCCTCATCATCTGGCGAGTAACCTTCTCCGAGCACACGAACAGTCTGCCCTGTGTGAATTTCACCACTATAAACCCTTCCAAATGCATCAAAAACACTGCAATCTGATTTAGGATACAACTTAGTAATATTGACCATAAGCGGCCCCGAAGGATCACAATCTTCCATGACATTGTAAATTCCGGAATCTTTAGGCCCAGTATAAATATGATCAACCTTCCGCGCTGCAGCCTCTTTAGCAGAAGGGATGTGGTGGACCAGCATGTCAGTAAAGCCGGTGGCTGACCCAAAAACAGAGCTACAAGCTAACCTAAGCAAAGGCCTAACATTCAATTTGTAAGCAGCATTACTCAAAGTCACACCAAGTTCTGCTAGAGTTGTTTCCACACTTTTTTTATGTTCTCCAATTACTTGGCTGTATATCTTGTAGAGAGGTTCAAGGATGAACTGCACAAACGATCTTTCCACCCCACTTGAAGGTTGCTTCTTCTTAAAAGCTCTAGTGGCTGGATCGTAATAATTATCTCCCCAAAGTCGAGTCGCAAATTTGTTAGCGTCAAACGGGATCCCATGAAGCTTAACATATAATTTGGCAAACGATTGCAGAGTGAAGCACCATCCTGCACTACCACTAGCAAAACATATGTTTCCAGCAGCTGGGTCAATAATTTGAACGTTGCCAGCAGTTGAAGAGACTGCAGTGATGTGGTTATTGAGGACTTCAATGGTATGCCTCAACTTATGATAGGCATCTTTTGGTGGTAGTTTTAGCTCAGTTATTAATCTGTCAACCTACATAAACGGGTAGAACTGAAACTTCAATAAAATACGAATATAAACAAAAGTTCTTAGTATATTTGTTTTGCATACAAAAAATCCTGACTGTTTTGAGCGGTACCAGGTATAGAAGGAATACCTTGTTTATGACAACTACTATAGGTAGGCGCTCTTGGATCGCATGCCGGATCGCCCTCTCTGTGTTTACCTGTTCATGAGTCGATGTCATTTAATATTTACCCATTACAAGTGAATTACATATTTACATGTTCCCTAGGCAATTATATAAAGCAGCTAAGCAAGACAACTACTAAAAGGTAATGCAGAAGGGAAGGAAATTCCAATTCAATATGGTACATAATTCATATATAGATTTATGTTGTCCTATAAGAGATAAACACCTTGGTGTCACCATACATTAAAGAGATGTTAAATTTGTTTTATTGGTAACATTATTTGGCGCTGATTTAGTCAATAATACAAGGTCAAAGCATTACATTCCAAAGCACATACATGCAACAAAAAGATAATTTGAATCACACAAATATATGAATGTATCAATATTCATTGCAACCAGGAACACTAATGATGAGCCTACAAAGGTGAGAAGAAAGTGAACTACTTGAAGTCAAAATTGTTTCAACAAATTCAGCTGGATAGAAATAGAACATCTTCCATAATTTAGAAAACAACCAAGTCATGTTAGCTACAGGTTACCTCCCTGCAAATTGAGCAGCTTCATTGATAATTAAAGAATGTATACATGGCAGTAACAACTAACAAAAACTCATGCCATAAACTTACAGTTTCTGTAATATCTCTCAAAAATGCATTACAAGCGAAATTAACAGGAACAAACAGAACCAACACAAAGCAAGCTAGCAGATAAAACACAATGCACTAACAACTTGCAACGGGCAACAAAAGGACCATTGGCCCAGCAGCATCCCGGTTACCAGTAAACCCTAGCCTCCTAGGGGTCAAGGGTTCAAACCTCACCAGAGGCAAGGAGCATGAGTGAGTATTTGTGACATATAAGTATTATATACCTCAAAAAAACTTGCAACAGACAGATACTGCATAAAATGCGCAGAAGCACAATATGATTTCACCACAACTATAAGTGGCCAAAAAACTCTTGTTTATGGATTTACAAATTTATATTTTAATGTAAGATCAAAAAAATGTTGTAGCACATACCATGACTCCTTCAGCAGCATCAACTATCAACACTGCCCCATCAGCAAGCCTGAGGGCAGCAGTCATTTCATCAGAAAAATTGACATGACCAGGTGTATCCATGATATTACACATATAGGATTTCGAATTGCTGTCCTCGAGAACAAGTGACATAGGAACTGCCTTGATTGATATCCTTCTCTCTTGCTCATCTATCCTTGTATCAGTGTATCTCATATGCTTCTCGCTGTTTTGATCAAAAGTAGAAATATGGTGAGTTTGCTCAACCAACATATCCATGAAGACTGTCTTCCCATGCTGCAAGTGTCCAACCAAAGCAACATTCCTAACCAAGGTAGGATTCGATGAGAGACCCAAAAGAAATTGGGTCGACACATAGGTGGACGAATCTTTAACACCCACTTCAAACTTAATATCCCTAACCGGTTTAATTATGGGTAGCTCAAGGGGCTGTTCATCCTCATCCATTACTAGTGTTTCCACCTCTTCACCATACACCTCTTCTGCAGTAGGGTAATACTTTTTATCCTCTGCAAGAACAATCTGATTTTCCATATCAACGTCATCAGTAGTAGTTATCCACCCATTGGGTCCAGCACCCACATTCTCTTCATCAGACTCAGCCCTATCATCCTCGGGCTTTTCTGGGAGATCTTCATCTTCATCCTCTCTATCACTATCCTGATCAGACTCGATTTCAGGTCCAATGTAGTTTCCAAACTCATCATACAAGCTGTCATCCATCCTGCTATCACCAAAACCCTAACATTTTCATGGTACATCAATACCCATAAAGACACATTCGACTCTTTTTCAGAAATTTTTTAACCAAACATTAACATTGCTTCCTATACTTGGACTCCTTCCATTCCAAAAAAAAAATTTGTCATTCCACTAAAACAAGTGCTTTTCCATTTCAAAAAGATTATTACAAATTAAACACATACATTATTTATTATTCCTCAAAATTCCATTAATTCCAATCCATTTCAAATGTGAGGTTGAAAATAATCTGTTACACCTCCGCAAACCTTTCCTTCGGGACCGAGTCAGTAAAATCTTTCAAATAGATATATATACTTGTAATAATAATTAAAAATCTAACTACACAAGATTTCACAACTCAAAACCGAGGGTTAGCAGAGAAAATGGAAAGAAAAGACGATGTAACAATAACTATACTATCAATTGATTTCATCAATTTAGGTTTTTGTTTTTGACGTATATACAGAAGAAATCAATTACATAAAGTTATCAATCAATGGAAAATGTATCTAAACATCAAGGTATAAAGAAAGCTAACCCGAAGCGTTGCCGGAGAGACTGACGGTGGGTGGCCTGAGGAAGGGTTTCGGAGCTGAACGAGAGAAGGGTTTAAGCTCCGTGCGTGAGTGTGTGGGAGATGGTTTCAGATTCGGCCTTTGCTCCAAATATTGAAGACGGTGTATTGTAATTTGATAGGTTTCAACTTTACCACCTCATGTTTTAAGTAATTACAATTAAAACCCTAAACTTTATTTTCCTTTTTTATTTTTGAAAAATTGATTTATTTTCATAGTAAAATATTTATCAAAATTATTTTACAATAATAAAATTACTATTTGAATGTACAAATAATTTTTAAAAAATGTGTTTTTTTATGTTTTTATATTTATACTATGTTATAAAATATTTGACAAAACCTCTTAAAAATCATTTTTTATACATGAAGTATTGTTTATTGATGCATATTATTTAAAATTCAAGATTACAAGTAATTTTGAATAAATACAACTTATTAAAACTTCATTTTTAAATTCATGTAACTAACTGCAGATAAACATAATCAAATACAGAATAAACATCTATTTTAAATATAAAAAATATAAAATATAATTAACATAATCATTGAAATCTAACAGAATGTTTAATTGTTATTTTTATATAAAATTATATTGAAAGGATAATTGCATGTAGTGAGATACATCTTAATTTTAATGTTAACTTTTATTCTGTCTCTGTTAATATTATAATACGNAATTACTTTGTTATTAAATTTAAATTAAATTATAATAAAAATTAAATTTAAGAAGTTACATCAAAAAATGAAAACTATTAAATAGTTAATTTGAAAATAATATCGATTTATTTTTTTAAATTTATATTTCATTCAAAAAATAAAAATATTTTTTTTTTCTCAAAACACATAAAATCGTATTATATCGATAAAAACAAAAAATAAAAACTAAACATTAAAATTGAGATTTATCTCGCTGTATCGTGTGAGCACCCCTCTAATATTTTGTAATATAAATAGAGTTGTGAATGGAAAAAGCATAAAAAGTAAGGCATAGTTTGGTAATACTTACAACTTCTACGTATATTTTCTTGTAACATTAACAAAAGAGTAAATTACATGATTGGTCCTTGTGGTTTACATAAAATCATATTGGGTATCCCTAAAATGAAATAATTATGGAAAACGTCTCCTTAGTTTATATTTTCACACGTCTTTGATCCCTTTGTCTTAACACCGTTAGAGACGTCTGTTAAATAGATTAATTATGGATAACGATGATGTCATCCCACCTCACCGGCCACCCTCCAGTCCCCATCTACATCTCCTTTCTTGGTACATCAATTAACACAAACCAGATTCATCCAAAAACTTTAATCAACAACCATTTCATTTCATCCAAAAATCTCAATCAACAACCAAAATTCATCCAAAAACCTCAATCTAAATTTTTAAAATTTGGGTTGAATAGAGACCCTAAATTGTATACAAATCCTAAACTATAGAAAAATGTATATACCTACAAAATATTTGGGTTAAAATCTTTCGATGAAGTTCAAGACTGATGGACACCAACCACTCTCACCACCGTCAAATACCATCGTTCTCAAAACAAACAAGAACATATAGGTCTGGTCTAGATTCGTTAGGGACAATGATGGGTGTGGGGATGGGATTCGCTTCAAGATCAACATCATCCTTATCAATATGTTACTAGTGAAGACTATGAATTGTTGTCTTGGGGGAGGGGGGATTTTTCCCGGAGCAAGAACGAAGATGGGGGGAGATATGTCGGTTTTGGATCAGGATCTTTGGTGCTCTGGTATGGATTTCGTTATGTATCCAGACCTTTATTGGGGGGAGGGAAGCTAAATCGTTGTGGTGCGAAATCGTTGTGGTTTTCTCCTTACATCTCCAAATCTCATCGGCGAAAGGGGAGGTGATGTTCTATTTAGATTTAGGGTTTGTTTGGAGAAGATGAGGAGGACTTAGAGGGATGGTTTCTTCGGCAACAAGGGTGGCATCTCCGGCGACGAGGGGGGTCATATCAGCGATCTGTTCATATATACATATATTTGTCATATACAATATATACATATGTGTGTTATTTGTGTAAGATATATATCTATATCTATATCTATATTATCTTATAAAGCATTTGGCTAAAACTCTTAAAAACTCTTAAACCCGTTCATCCCTAAACGATTTCATCCCTATCAGATTTCATCCCATATCTGAATTCGTATAATTAACTGCAGATAAACACAATCAAATACAGGATAAACATCTTATTTTAAATATAAAAAATCTAAAATATAATTAGTATAATCATTAAATTCTAACAGAATACTTAATTATTATCTTTATAAAATTTATAATATTAAACCAAARATAAATTGTTTTATTATTAAACTTAAATTAAATTATATACAAAAAATATTCTATATTATAAATTATTTGACAAAAACTCTTAGAAACCATTTTTTATGCGTAAAGTATTGTTTATTAATGCATATTACTTAAAACTCAAGATTACAAGTAAATTGTGCATATGTACAACTTATTAAAGCTCCATATCTGAATTCGTGTAACTAACTGCAGATAAATACAATAAAATACAGGATAAACATCTCATTTTAAATATAAAAAATCTAAAATATAATTAGGATAATCATTGAGTTCTAACAGAATACTTAATTATTATCTTTA